AAAAAAAAAAAAACCAAATTTCACCAGATGCGACACCACTTACGATATAAGTGTATATTAAGTTTGTGACGATATATGTAACACTCGGGACGAGTTGAGATAGATCCAGCTTTTCTACCGCGTCTGCCTCTCTGCCCGTCTTGTTTCCTTATCCTTAAGGTACAGGTCGCAATTTTTAAAATATTTTGATGAAATTTGCTACACTCACGTAAGGATGAGCGCTAATGAAATTTTTACGACTACCTTCCTTATAGCGTCTTATTTTGAAAAGTTCACATACGAATAACTGTAGAGTGTGGTAGGATATTTAATGGGTGGGCCGTGGCCGACAGTTCTGTTTTCATTTGTTTTTTTTTTTCAGTTAACTTGGGCTTCCCAAAAAGAAGCTACAAAGGCGTTATAATTTCCCAAAATACTCTTTGGCATGGTGGATGATTTTAAATTGTTAATTTCTATTTCAATGCATTTTTAAGACAATCAAACCTTCATCAAAAGATTAGTGTAAACATTCTGCACTTGTAGAATAATCAACAAAATGCTCCATTAATTATCCTCTCAATCGATGAAATTATAGCACAAGCACAATGAACCACGGAAATCAAGGCTACATAACATCGTTACCGATATCTAACAGATCGTTCAATGAAACATCCGAACTTATACCTTATGTAGAACATGACTTAGAGAGACAAGCATATATAGAACAAGGACAATACTTACCTGTGATGCATTTGTTGTCCAATGAGATAATGCGAACTACAGCTACCGCAGATATATTTCCACGCCATCATTTAGGTCACAATGAGCATTCAATTAGGTAAGAAATGAAAATTTCATGAATTTAGAATGAAATCTAATAAAATTTTTTACATTTCTTTTATTTAGTACAGAACTGTTCTTGCCATCGATTGGCCAACCCTTGCCTCATAAACTAACTTCGAAAGACTTTACAGCGCCTGGAGCACATCATGTTTTTTCGCCACTATAAATTGCCACAAGCCAGGCGTGCAGGACATAAATATTCAGCAATTAATTCATGAGACTTGAAACGAGCTTGAAACGAGCAGAAATATTAAGCTTGTCACGAAAATCTATATATATTGAATAATTAATCATATAATTCGTAAAATTATATGAAATTTTTTTTTTTTTTTGTTTAATATCCAAGCTGTGTTTTCGTGCATGCATTTCTTATGAGTGAAAAGCACACAGATCATCAATAAAAAGGTCATTAGGAAAATTTCAATTAATGGCTAGCTATGGTAAAGAGGGACAGAGAGACAGAAAGAGAGAGAGAGAGAATTTCATGTAAAATAAAAGACTTTATAACAATATGGAGAATCATTAATTTTCGTAAACGCTACAATTTATCCTAGAGAAAATCATTTATGTATTTCTTAATTAGTTTATGATCGTGAAATGAGCAACTATGTAGATCGTCTCCAACAACGACGTGAAAATTATTTCAAATTATTTTTATTCTCAAATCGAAACGACGACGACGTTATAAACAGCGTAAGTTGCGAATTCGAGTTGAATATAATCTTAGCAATGTTTACAAGTTTAGATAATCGTATAAACTAATTGAAGCGCTAATATAAATATATTGTCACCTGCTAAGCTATTGGGTAAAAACTTTTCTTTCCAAAATTTCCTGAATTCTCAATAAATATAGCGACTTAACAGCCTTTGAACTCAGTGAACTAATTAAATTGGAAACCTTTTCAATGCAAATCTGATATTTTGATTAACTAGACTTTACAAAAATAATTCTCACTTTTCGAAAACTATTTATCAAACGGTTATAACTATCTTTCGATATTCTAAGGGAATTTTTTGTTTCTCTTCCAAATTCCAAATCGCATTGCGAGATTATAATGTTATTCAGTTTTTTCTGTCGATTTTATTAAGACAAAAATTCAATAATAACTGAAAATTAATAAAAAAAAAATTAAAAAAAAAAAAATTAAAAAAAAAACAAAAAATACAAAAAAAATGATAACTGGCGAAGATTTGAAAGTGAAAAGAAATGTATACAAATATTCCCGTACCGAAAAACAATCACAAAGCGATTTATCACCAAAATGCAGTGCAGAGAGCATTGATGTCGAGTCAGTTACCTCAAAGATTTTAATAATACCCGGATTAGGTGAAACATCTGAACGAAATGTCCCGTTCGCTTGCATGAATGAAACTATGAACGACAGAGAAAATTGTGATTCAGAGCATATCATAAACTTTGCAGAGATGAAAGCGCCCAGTTGGATAGCTGAGGGTTATGAAACTATAAATTTGAGTGAAGCAGAACGCATAATAAAAGAGTGGGGTAATAGGCCACCCGAGTCATTTACAAAATTTTCAAATATCAATAATAAAAAGCACGAAAACATGGTGAAAATATTAGGGGGTACAGAGAGCGCGAAGCATTGTGCTAAGAGATTTGAATGGAAACGGCAATCACGATATAAAAACATACAACCGAATCAAAATGATATATGTAGGCGTATTAAAATTCCATCGGAAAAGGAAGAAACGAGAGATTTTCCCTGCCATCATGCCTTGAAACCGATCAAGAGAATGCTTTTTGAGGACGAAAGTAGGGAAAGTCTCCGTTCCTGCCTATTATCTAAACAAACGCCATCATGTTGCAGTTATACGAAGAAACCAGTAACTATTTCGCCCATCGGTCAATCTAAATGTAATTGTGATTTAACAAATCGCTTGGCTTGCCCTCAGCCCAACGTCACGACTAGCGTTTGCGAAACGAAACCTGAAGAATCAAGATGCGATACCCAACGTTACAATTGCAGGCCTCTCCGATCAAATTGCTGTCATTGCGAAGTTATATATAAGACTAGCACTCAAACTAATCGCACCGCTCAGTCGAAAATGTGTCATTGCAATTTCGATGACGAGAAACCGACTACCTCGAAAGGTATAAAAAGTGAACGGCCGGATATTTGTTTGCCATCTATTGAATCCAATCCAAGCGAGAAATTGAAGGGATCCAAGCAAGATTTAATAGATAATATTATGCGTAAGCTATTAGGTTGCGATAATTCGGAAATAAATATTGAAATAAAAAAATCGAAAAAAAGAAATTTCGCGCCATCTTTAAATGATCGAGCAGCTATAATTGCCAAAGAATCAATATCTTGTCAAACTGAATTTACGAGTTTAACTCGTGATCCTGATAGTCGGAGAACTCAAAAACAAACTACTTCTGTGAATTCATCGAAAAGTCAGCAAGAACCATATGAATATCATCGAGACGATGGCTTAACACAATGTCGATCGCGATGTCAATACGGCAAAAAAGCCACTAGGAATAAAGATATTTCCACTTATACCCATTTTCATGATGCGCAGATTAATTGTCTTGAAAATTCGAAAGAAATTTCGAAAGTGACGCGAAAGAACTCAGTTGAGTCTTGGTTAAGAAATAATCCTAGCCATTTAGAGTATCCAAGAATTAATGACGAAGCTAGCGGTAGTTCCTTTCACAATTCCACAGAAAGCAACGATTTTTTGCGCAATTCCTTGAGTGATTCGAACTTTTCGGAATATCAAACTAGCGTAGCACCAAGTTGTGGCGCAGCCTTTCCCTTGGCCAATCAAATTCCTAACAAGGAAAGAAACTTAAATTCAAAAGCTTTTCTAAGAAATTCGACTAATGCGTCCAATGAGAGCGGACAATCACTTGTTGAAGATACACTATCTGTAACGGAAGATCCCATTGATTTCTCAGTGGGAGGACAGTAAGCTCTTCTTATTGTTAACGTTAATTATATACAAAAAACCTTTAGCTCTTTCTCATTTATCTCTACCTCATTGACTTTCTCTTCTTTCTTCTTTCATAGAAATGTCAGCTTTTTCAACGATCTACAAAATGGTCCAACGTTAAAAATTCCACGCTTTGCTCTCAACTTACATGAAAAACATCATAACAATCAATTAATTGATGCATCTTTCGATTATATCGGGTCAGAACAATCTGAATATTCGAAAGGAAATCATGCATCTTTTAAGGCATCGCCTGATGCTGATCAAGAACCTAATAGCTTGTATTTTCTACGCACCAATCATTGCTTATTTTCACCGAAAAGCACGTTTGACCAATGTCTACATAGTACTGAACCATATGTGGGTTACTCCCATTCGGATTCTAAGTGTTATGAATAGTTGGTTACAAAATTATGGTTGTCCACATGTACATGCAAGCAAAGAGAAAAAAAGCAGCTACTTTTCCTACATTAAAAACTTTCTCTCATTCTTCTCATTATTTCAACGAAAGTGAAAAAACACTAAGCCCAAGACAAACAAAAAAAAAAAAAAAAAAAAAAGAAAAAGAAAACGATTTTTATTACTAATAGAGAGCTAGCCAGCTACTCGACATCTATAAAGAAAACATTATTTACATTAAATTTTGTTATGCTTTTTTTTTCAACATACCTACTCACCTACCTTCAACATTTAATATGCCAAGATGTCAAGATGTCATATGTGCTAATGACGAAGTGAGATATGAGTTTTAATTAAAATTTTTGTATTTACCAATGGATTTTCAACAGACAGCAGATAAGCATTAATGCAAATGAACTCAATTGATTTTTGTCATTTTCAAAACTGAAAAATTGAAACGCAACTCAACAATGTGGCGCATTTTTAATCGAATATCTCAGCCCGCTACACAAAATTGACAACTGTATCTCGCCTCATTTAACAAGTAAACATTTATACATTTAGATATATATAGATATACAAATTTAGACAGGGATTTCGCAACGAATGCTTACTCACAAACCCGCAAGAGCTGCATCGAATTTCTATTATATTTTCAAAATAAAATCAACCCTGCAATCTTTCTGCACTCTCTCCCGGCAAACACGAGTAATTTAATACAAACACATGATATTTATTATTATTATTATTATTACTTCACTGGATCAGAAGAGAGGGGCACATCTAAAATCACAAGCTAATCGGAAACATGTACAGTGAGTGTCATTAATATTGACTTTTTTTCGCTCGGCAACGCTTGTTAAACTTGGTACATTGTTCAAACATAAAAATTTATTTTATTATTTTGTCCTACTGGGAAATACAGGTAGGCAAGAAGAAGAAGAAGAAGATAGGGAAAACACATTTCAAATACAACGTTATTCCACTACGAATTGAACGTTCTATTCTTACCTTCCTGTTATGTTCTTCTCCCAACAGTTAACGGCGAGCATGGCATGGCTATGATCATGTTACAGTGTGGTACAGTGTGATGGCCAATGGACTCGGAAAATTGTATTGGTATTTATGAATGGCAATATAAACAAGGAGGGGTTTTTTTAAGATATGCAAAGAACATTTGAAAGATTGGGCGGGCAAGCTTCCTATTATTTGGGCGACATACAAATTCTACCAAGATAACAATCTCAAGCGTAAATCCCGCTTAAATCACGAATGGCTGTCCAAAGTGCTTCGCTCTCTTCCGCAAATCACATGAACCCCATCAAAAACATGTGAGATGAATTGGACCGCAATGCACGAGAACACTCAATCCCTTCCGTCAAAAACTTGAAAAGGAATGAAATTAGATCCCTGTTTTCGACAAATATGTCATACGAATTATGCAAAATATGTCAAAACATTTAAATGACGCTCTTAAGCAAAAAGCGTATCCCTCCAAATATTAAATTTTAATAATCTGCCATTTTTTTCTTCGTATCCTTCCTCATATGAAAAAAAAAACCAATGTTAATGACGCTAATGTTATTCAAATTGTTGAAGTTATTTAATTTTCTTGTGCACTGAAATAATGTTTTGTTTGTTTTCTATATACCCATCACTGTACGATGGGGCTATACTCATTTTGTTTTTTTTCCATAACATATGTAATAACCAAAAGAAAACTTCAGAGACCGTATAAAGTATACAGATTCTTGATCAGCGTGAAATTTTCAGTTGATTTGGTCATATCTGTCCGTCTGTCCACGTATGTTTATTGTGTGTTTTTGGCATTCTACAGATTGCAAAAATTGAAAATTTCGACTTCAAATCTCTTAGAAACATTGGAAGTTTCGCAGGTCATGCAGGTTTGTATTGAAAATGGGGCAACATTAGTCTGAACAGAAGCGTACAGTGAAGCGTAAACGGAACACGACAAAACAAAAAAGTTTTTGGATTCTTGAGCGTTGCTCGGAAATTGTAAAAGTTAAAAGGCTAAAATTTTCCACAATTTCTTTGCGAAGCACTCTACTCATTATGTGCGAAAATTGAAAACATTCGCCACAACCCACACAAACTTGCAAATGATTAAATTTTGTTTTTTTTTTTTCACTTGTTCGAGGTTTTATGCTTATTTATCATAAGGCTAGCAAGACCGCCGAATCTATAAAACTGTTTTGTATGAATGAGTTAATAATAATATGAAGGTCACTGCGATTATTTTATTCTTAATAATATCAGCGATATGGGTATCAAATAGAAGGACTTGGATACTATAACTTTCTTACTTGTTTTACATATTTTAATATGTATTCCCTATTAAGACAAAGTAGTAAAATATTTTTTTTGTTTGGATACGCGACTAGGTTTAGCCAGCGTCTACTTTTTATCAAGCGAAAATACCCAATATTTATGAGGCTCATTGTATGCAGCATGTTTGGCATTACATCCTGTATACTGCAATATCATAAAACTGATATACATATGTAAAAAAAAAATATATATATATATATATATATATATATATTTGAAACAAAATAAAATATGAATTATGAAACATGATCACATAAATATATAAGTAAATATAAATAAACAATAATAATTATCCCAAAAGGAAAAATTGAAAAAGTGCATAGAAAAACAATTAAAAATTAATCGTAAAAAAAAAAATATTGTTTACAAGATAAAAAACTATGTAAGAGATAATTGAGAAAATTCGATCAGCCGGCCCGGCCCGGCCCTTCATCGTTTAACGCAGAACATACCAATACTATCGCAATTTCGTATGTTTCATTTACTTAATCATTTAAAAATAAGACGATGGCATAACGTAGCCGCTTCTGCGCTTGCTCGCTCTCGTGCTAGCACAATGATGGTCAGGAAGATTTATAGGTAGCGAGAGATGTAAAAAGGAAGTAGTATCGGTGCAACGTTTAACTTAAAGGTGGCAACATCGGTGACGGCGAGAAAGACCCCTGCAAACAATTCCAGGACGAAGCCTTGTGACGCTGGCGAGGTATTTAATTGGTATACATATAATTTTTTTTTTTGCCTGTAGAACATTTGCCATAGATTTATCTGCACAAACACATCCCAGAGACCACACATTACGCCGATGCTCCAGAGTGTCGGCAGTTTTGGACAGCCTTTCGACACTCATGTTGACAACTGACTCTACGTATTTCAATAATACTGTTGACATTTGTCCATATGTATAGAACCGTCGGCTACAAAGCTAGACCAAAACTATACAAATTTATATATAGATGGCTGCTGGTGTGGTATCGACCATAGATAATATAATACGATTGTAAATACTATCAGTAAAAAATTCCCAGTCCAACCACCACTATCAACGCCCAACTACGGTCTATTCTGGAGCAGTCTACTCATTCATTTTGCAGTAATAAAATACGCGAATCAGACGAATTGCCAAAATAAAAATGAAGAGACTCATTCATTATCGAATTGCTTCGTCATGCAAACTATTCGAAACATTTAAACCTGTCGGCTTATTTTCTCTTACTGAACCTCAAAAAAATAACTCTCCTAAAAGTTCTTTCGCCAATAACATAAAACTGGAATGTGCGATTAATGGCTTTTTATGAGAAAGGGAAGGCTATGTTAAGAAAGAGAAAAATTTTTTCTTACATTTTTTTTTTCCAATTGACGTACTTTTGTTAACTATCTTCGCACTTTTGTCTCCTCCATGCATCTGTATTCATCTAACATACGTAGTACGGCCCCTCAGTATGTATACTTGAAACCATGCATCATTCATCTGCAGCATCAAACATACAGTTGTTATTATTTATCGGATACCGGATATCAAATAATCGGAAACCTTTGCATGATAAACAGTTAAATGGCATAATTCAATAATTTCGCGATCAAATCATATATAAAATTCCTTATAATGATAGAGTCGACACAAATACTTTGAGTAGCCAAGTAGCCATAGGTTTAATAATTATTTCAAGCAGATTTAAATCCGAATTATATATATAAGTATAAGGAACATGGTTAATAATAATGGTTCGCTTGGCTAGGGCACAAAATATGTGACAAAAAGCAAAAATTTCTGTTCCTACGCCTTCCCCTTTTTGTTTTTCTTCTTCTTTTTTTTTTTTTTTAACAAAATCCAGTTTATTTCTTTATATTAATCAATACTTAATTATCTATTCATTTTAGTTATTACTACTCAATCCACAATTATTATTATTATTTATCCCTTTAATTATCAGTAGTACTATTATTTATTATTATCATTAACGTTTTTAGTATCAGCATTTGACAGAACAAAAAAGAAAAGATAAGAAGAGAAAGGTATATATATATATATATATATATCTTGCTGAATATATATTAAGCTGAATAATGATATCACGGATACTAATCCACCATAATATTAAATATAAAAATATAATTGTTTGTGATATTGTAGAGTCATTAAAGAAGAAATAAAAAATAATAAACTGAAAAAATAAAAAAATTCCCTAATTGCTTCTTCTTTTTATAATTTTTTTTGTAAACTTTGTAATTCTGATTTCTACACAGCCGATCAATTAGAAAATCGACCAATGTTGAGCACAATTTTTAATCCAACTGTAACGAATCGTGGAATGAGAACATTCACATTAACAAATAAATTTTCTTTCGATAACGAATGTAAAATCTCATATTTCCCACGTATCCATATATCATATTATTTACTATATAGATAATCCCATAGTCTATTCAGAAGTGCGAGCGTTTGATCGAAAATGTGCTTCGTAATTACATGCGAAGCGAAGAGCTTATTAAGATTCAGTCATAATTGTTTTAAGATTAAGATTTAGTCCACAGCATTATATGCCTTGAGTCCTCGCGCCAAAGATGGCAAACTCTAAAGAGAGGCTAATTAGTATATGTCTATTCTTAATTTCATTTAAGTCATACATATATATATATTTTGTAGATTTTTTTGCTGGACAATATATAAATGAATATAGTGCCAAGAAAAAAAAAAATAAATCAGTTATTACTAAATTAATCATTAAAACTGAAAATGGAAGGCGAAAAAGCCAGAACATGAGAAGAAATCGCTCTCACCTACATCGTAGAAGAGCAGCTGGATTGGATATCTCGCTAATAGGAATTGACGATGGAAAGCAATAGCGTTAAACGAAGATAGCCGGCCGATCATTTCTGCGATAAGTCGAGTGCTTGATACCGGAAGCAACCGTATAAGATCCGGAAAATGTGATCATTATAAAAAAAAAAAATAAAAAAAAAAAACAGTTTAAAAGAAACAGAGAAAAATACTAAAAATCTTTGATGATCAAGAAACGATGTATATAAATGGGAGGAGAAAATTTCGAAATTGATATCGAAATAAAACAAAATACCGAGCCATTAAGAAAAAGGAGCTGCAACTTTCAAATAGACAATCCATATATTTATTTCAATTTATTAAATTTGGTTTGTTTTGTTTGTTTGTTTGTTTTTTTTTTTTTTTTTTTAAGCTGTCATTACAATTTTTTACACAAAGTCGTAAAGAAAACTTGATACAAATGTGCATAAAATAAAGCAATGTAGGAAAGAAAGCCAAAAAAAGTGTTGATTATATCACGAATATAATTCGTCTAAAATACGTTTTTAAAAAAACTATTCACGATTCAGAAGCAATCAAATCCTATCATCGAGGCGTGTTGCTAACAAATTGCAATTGGATTTCGATATAAGCGAGTGGATGGACTCGATATGGGTTTTGGACCGCAAATATATTATTTTGATAATATTAATTTGTAGTTGGATAGCGTTTAACATATCGAACTAATTCAATCTTCAATATTACTTTCTTTTATGATTATTGATTCGTTCGATTGACCACTTAAAAGACGCATAAATTATTAGAAAAAAAAAAAAAAAAAAAATGAAAAAAATACTCCAAAAATTAATCAAATAATCAATCCATCAAGTTGTCAAAAATTAAGAAATTGTCAGAAATCAATCTTCAGTTGGCCAAAGTTAATTAATCATCTTAGAAATGAAACAAATAATGATATAATCAATTATTTCCTATATTCAATAGGGATACGAATACTGAAAATTTATTAAAGAAATTGTGAAAAGAATTATAATCATGACTTAATTGTTCGTCCTCATAAGCGATTCTCACTAGCTCTACCAACACATAAACATAACTGAGAAGGGAAAGAGAATCGAAACTTTGGCATAATAGAAGCAAAACTATATATATATATATATATATATATATGTATATAAATTCATTTAAATTATATTACATTAAATGAATTGAATTTGGGGGAAAGGAATTCGCACCGTATATAAGTAAATATTCCGTTCATACGGGAAGCGATCTCAATCGTATTTTTTTCAGCATTTAATGTTAAGGCTGCTCTTTAAATTTAAAATTTTTTAAAAAATAATTGAAACAATAAAATTACAGTAATGATCATAGAAAATACACGCTAAGATATTTTTTTTTTTTTTTGTTTTTTTTTTTCTTTTTTTTGTAAATTCAAAATCATTTAAATCATTTGTGTTTTACGTGCTCTCTTATTGTTCTGTCCATCTTTTCCATCTGGACACAAACTGAGAAAAATTTACGAATTCTCATCAGTTACATATATGTAGCCTTGTTGTTGTAATATATTTAAACGTTTTTCCACCGCATCTCGATCTGTAATTAGAATTAAAAGGACAACATTTTTCTGCTCAACAAAAGTCGAATAGAAACAAACGATAAACGATAAAAATTCTTATAACTAATGGAGGATATAATTGGGATCGGACTGTATCTATGGATACTGGCATAACACAGCCGTCGTGCATAAATTGTGCAAATTGCGTAAAAATTATTATGATAAACAGAAAAACGAGTGAGCCAAGTATAAACCCATACTATAGCCATGTCAAATATATATATATATATATATATATATATATAAAATATGTAATTTTCATATCGGCTATCGAAATATGGAGTTATTCTAACTATTTTATTTCCCCTTTTTTCTTTTTTTTTTATGAGCCCTTAAGCTATCTATCTACTCGAGATACCTCATGAAATATTTAAAGAACAATTACTGAATAAAATGGGATCAAGCGCAGGGCTTTCAACAAGCTATTGTTAGCAATAACTTATGATTGGTAATGTCCATCCATGCTATACTCATCGATCGTTCAAGTGTCAGATCTATTCCGCTTACAATTACAATTTCGGACGTATTTTAAGGTCAGCCATCTTGAAATTATGTAAGCTTAAGTTAGATTCGATTTTTCAATTAAGTTTTGTGAACCAACCAACCAGTAAGTAGCTCTGTCTCATATTTGTAAATAGCTTTTATTCCACTTACATTTATTTAGTAGCATTTTATCTTGTGGATGATTGCATTTTTGTACCAATGAATGTAATAATATATGAGCGGTATTGTAGCGTTCGAAGCAATTTTTGGTATTACTTAGCAATTCATCTAACGCAGCAGCCTGACACTAAGGGAAAAATAAAATTTTTAATTATTACAAAAAGAAAAGAATTACGCGAATTCTTTTGTTAAAAAGAAGACCTCACCATATCTAAAGCGTAGTCGTAAAGTATTTTATCAGCGGTTATATTGAACGCATTGGCTTTTTGCAGTAAGCCGGTACCATTAAGTTTCTTCGATTCAAACAATATATTGCGATACTTTGAGTTCATGGTAAGCAAAGCTTGCGAAAAACAATGGAAAGTCTTTAGGATACTTGAGAAAATGTTTCAATTATATATAACTTACCGTTCTTAACGTTTGACGAAGGCTTCAAATCACCGTTACGCAATTGCTGCGAGGCCAAATTTAAGCCAGACGATAAAAGTTGCAAAGCCCTTACCAACAATACTAGACGTTCAGCTCGTTTACAATGTTCAGGGGCATGCGGTGGGATTTGTGGTTGATCATTGTTGCTTGCAGCCATTAGAGCTGATAATGGTGCGCAACGTGAATCAGCGACTTCTTGTATGCAATCGGTAAGAGCCAAAACAAAATTTAATTTCGATAAAGTCTCATTGTGTTCCCGGTCCATGAGTGTTTCCTCAGATAATTCGGGGACATGGAATGCATTCAGATTATGAGTCTCGGATCCAACCCCTCCGCCAGTATTACCACTTGTGTCTAAGAGAGTATGCAAGCCACCCGTAGCAGCCATTTCGGGTAATGTGAAAGCTCTTGGACCCAACATGGGATATTGATTGTTATTTTCTGAAATCGAACCGTTGCCCGAACCCAAAGAACCTATCGTTAAAGTTGGGCTACCCAAAGTAGGAAGTTTAGTAAGAGCGGACGGAAGCACAGGAGAACTATGTCCGGAACGGCGCAATGGCGACTGAGTTGGACCACCTGGACTCACTTGCCATGTGCAAGGCGCACTTGGGGGAGGAGTTTCCGATAAGGAACCTCCCGAAGCAGAACGATGACGACCTGTTGGCGGTGTGCCAATGGCAAATTGTAAAGCCGGTGGTGATATGGAATTTATATCATTACTGACGCTATTTTTACGATGTTCTGGTCGCTGTTTAACACTAATCGGTTGCGATCGGGGTATTTGTGGAGCACTTATTGCCTGCCCGGTCGTCGACAATTTTGGTGAGGCAATTTGCTCATTATTTGCCTTATAACGAACAGAAACATTCTTATCTAAAGGTGTGCCACCCGGAGCTGTAGCTGCATTTGTGTTGGTGGAATACTTACGAACCGGGGCTGGAACCGGTTTAGGTTCAGAAATAGGCAAGCTACTAGGTCGGGGAGGACTGGATTGATTTTGATTAATAACTATTGGAGCTTGCGATTGTTGTTGGACTTGTTTAGCGGAATGCCTAATAAAAAAAAATTGAGTCTAAAACATTCACAATTTACGAACAAACTAGATCATGTACTTGTTTTCATAGTCGATAACTTGTTGATCTTCGGGAAGATTTTTGGGTACCAGAACAAAATCATCAGAATCCTCGTGTGACCCCGAAGATACACTGTTGTTTTCACTTTCACACAAAACACCAACATTAGTGATCGTTGCACAAATAGCCGGATTTTCAACCACAGAAACTACAAAAAAAAAAAAAATTAGAAAATTGAAAACAATATTAATTTTACTACGATAAATTTTTAATATAATGAAAGATTTTCGAGCATAAAGAATTTTGTAAAATAATACATTTATTCTATTACAATTGCCATTATACTGTAAAAAAAAAAAAAATGAAAACTACTTACCTGCATTTTCATCTGGTTCGTCGTCTGGATCCATTTTTAGTTGCTGATGTTTCTGTTGTTGCAATTGCTTTTGTAATTGTTGCTGCTGTTGCTGCTGCTGTTGCTCTAATTGTTGTTGCAATGGACTCTTTGACTTAGTAGGTGGTGTTGTACCCATAGACAAAGATGCTGGAATATCTCCTACGAAATTAATATGAAAAAGAAGATGAAAAAATAATATAAATAAAAATAATTTTTAAAGCATTTAATTTCTAACCAGGTGAGGCAACGGCTTTTTTGCCTTGCAAGAAACGATGATTGAAAAAGCTTTCAAATGAAATGCGGTCCTTGGCATTGCGACGCAACATGCCCAACAGCAAATCGCGCAATTCCACCGATACACCACTCGGTATTCTAATTATTGAATGAAAATGACATATAACAACAACGATAACATAATGTATATTTTTAGATGTATTTTATTTGAAAAAAAATAAATAAATAAATAAATAAATTTGTGTACTCACTTGGGCGCCAAATTTTCATTTGTTTCATAATAATGTTTTAATTCATTTGGTGTTTGTGCATAAAATGGTGCTTTACCAGTCAAAGATTGATAAACAATGGTACCTAATGACCATAAATCAGCTTTGGCGTCGTATTGTAAAGACATAATAACCTCAGGAGCCTAAACAAACCAAAAATAAACCAACAAATATATAGACAAATATATAAAACAATAATAATATAATAAAATAAAATAAATAAATAAATAAATAATATTAACAAAATTGGCAGAGTCTCTACGCCCTCTTGCTTAGAAAAGAGAAAAATTTCCCTATAGAAACTTCAACATATTTAACTGCTGACTTAGTTGTTTGTTGTTAATAAATTTTATAAATTCCTTAAGCCGAATCTTAGCAAATAATTATATTCTTTGTTCAACAAAAAATATCTTAACAGCGATTGTCATCTTAATATTTCCTAAAGATTTTAATAATTTCATACCTTATCATGCTGATAATAGCATAAAGTAAAATTTAGAAAGAAAAACAAAAACGGAAATTATAGTCCAACATACCATGTACATGGGAGAACCACACAAAGTGGCAGCCATGACACCCTCGTTGAGAAATCGAGCGAACCCAAAATCAGCTAACATTAAAAAACATTAAAAAGTTTAAATTTAACAACATATACAAATACAATATTACATGGCTGCTTACCTATTTTTAGGGTAATTTTCGATGGTGCTGGCAAAGCTTTCCCATAATTGTGCGACAATAATATATTTTGTGGTTTAAGATCGCGATGCACAATTCCTTTAGTGTAGAGAGCCTTCATGGCTCCAGCTATAATACGAGAAATTACAAATTTAATTTAATTTAATTTCTTTTCTAAACAAAATTCAATAATCAATTCACACGCACTAACCGAGCTGTATAAGAAATAATCTAACTGTGTCCTCACTCAAGGTACCTTTAACATTGAGATAATCAGCTAAATCGCCGCCATTGCAATACTGAAAAAAAGAATGAAAATAAAAAGCGAATAATAATAGTAGTCTCACACAATTTCCAACAAATTATTCAAAAATGTATTTCTGATATTTCTGATTGATATTCAGAGATTATTGTTCGTAATAAACAAACAATGCATTTTAAAAGACTAAAAGGTAAACATTTTCTTTTATTCGACAAAAGTAGAAGCAAAAATAATTGCCAACTTTTCGTAAATATCTCTCTCTATATATTTGTTATATTTATCCAAATCAACAACACCTGTTCACATTGGTATTATTACAATTTTTTTTTTTTTTTTTAATTGAAAATCAATGATATCGTTATTAGAGCAAAACACATGAAAACTTATTTTGATGAGCAAAAGAATGTTAAATAAATTAAACCTTCAATCAATCAAGCAATCGCTATCTGAATCAGATTCTGAATCGATACAATCTGTCCCGTCTGTCCATTTCGCTTTTTTGTTTCTTGGCCATATTTTGGGCCAAATGGCTCGAATCGGAGCCATGGTCCACTGTAGTACTTTACTTTTATTTATTCTTCCTTAGTTTATGCCACAACTTTGTTAACAATATTAAATAAATCAAAGATATTTAGGTGGTTAAAACAACCGGTTACAAAGTTAGCTTCTTAAAGCGCCAAAAATTTATAAAACAAACCGTCGTGTAAATGAATAACAAAACGAAAGCATAAAAATAAAACTTTAAATGTTTACATCTAGACGTCGTCGTATATCGATAGTAAATTTAGTTCCAACATTTATTATACCTAACCGAAAAATTGAAAAGTACTTGACCTATAATTAAATGAAAAACTACTTTAGGTGATGAGCATCGCAAAGATTTATATAGCTAATATATATATGTATATAGCTTTTTTATTTATTCTCATTATTTACCCAATGTAGAGAAAACATTTTATATAAACAATTTCTAGAGTAGCAAAAATTCTCTACAAGACCCAAAGAGCCAAAACAAAAACATTTTATTATTTAAAAAGAGAAGGGATATCATGTGTGCATGTGTGCGCGAATCAATGAATAAAAATCTATATTGCTTATGCACTCTCGCAAAATTCATGCAATAAATGAAACCCAAAAGTAAAAGAGAGTATTGTTTCTCTTTGCACTCATCACTCAAAAGCTTAAAAAGCATTAATTATTTAATACTAGCCATATCTCCTCACAATACAACAGTTTATACTAAAACGGTAGCGAAGCAAGTAGTAGAATAAAGAATTTGAAGTAAAATAGTAGTAGAAAAAAAAAAAAAAAAACAAAAAGAGATAAAACAAAAAATCGAAAAATGGAAAGTTAAAACAAAAAAAGCTATTGATGAATGCGGAACAAACAAAATATAAAAAAAAAAAATGTACTTACGAGCATGAAATATGAATTTCTTTCATTTTTGTCAAAGTTAATAATGTGATATATGCGTATATGTACTTATAGCTTTATATACCAAGTTTATACATTTTTTTATTTTTTTTTTTTTTATTTCTTGTTAAATAATGTAATAAATGGTACTACATATACCGTGAGCACAACGAGGAGCGATAAAATTTACAAAAATACAATGACTTCACTATAATAATAATAATAATAATAATAATGCTATAATATTAATAATGAAAAGAGAAACAAAATCTACGTACTACTAATACGAAATATGTAAATTGTAGTAATATAAATATAAAAATAAATAATTGATTATTTTTGAAAGTTTGGTTATATGATTTAATATAGCACTATTGATAATTGTTTTAGATATGTTATTGAATAACATTATCCAATAAATACAAGAAATGAAAAAGAAAGAAAAAAAAAAAGAAAGAAAGAAATTATCTTCGGCTTTTGTCAAATTTTTTAATACGCTTTCATTGACAATAATTTGTTTACTAAATAGAGTGAAAATGCATTCATTCGCTCATTATGCATCGCATCGTATATATTCCAAATTATATTTTGATATAATTGACAGGAACTTTTATAGGTAATTGCATAGATTTTTTTATATACTCCGCGCCTCATTCATTCAAATAAGGATTTTATGATCAATTTTGAGCGAGTTCTCGCTTCGATTTACTTGATTTTTCCATTCAATAGCGATATTTTTTATTAAGCGCTCTTAAATCTATTTAAATGAAATGTAAATTTCTTTCTAATTAACTATGCACGAAGAACTCACGAGAGTGATAAGAAAGGTCATTAGCAATATTATAAACATGTATGAACTTTTCGAATAATCTAAATGTTATTAATTCGGAAAACTGTCTGGCCTAGCGAAGCGTAGATATATAAGAAAATCTCAGTAATCTTTTTCAAATATAAAGATAGAAAATAACAAAAAAATAAATGGAAAAACTACATTCTTCTTAGGATTAAGTTCTTAATAAATGTGTTATAAACAAAAACAAGTATAAAAATTTCAAATGACATTTCAAATGCATACAAGAAAGGCAAACGAATGAAGGAAATTGTACAAGTGTAGTTAAAGCTGCACCGATTGGACGAATTCATGGTCGGACGAGCTCGTATTACGTATCTTAAACTGAATAAGAATATAAACATTACAGAATCTCGTTGAGTATTTCTGCGTGTGTTACAAACGAAATAATAGATCAGTTATGACGAATCGACGATAGAAAATTTGATTAGGAATTGCTTCAATTTTTCATTTACTTTTCATATCATTACTACAATAAAAAAAAATACCAAGATTAGGATATAAGTTTCAGTGGCGATTAGGAAATGTAAAACAACAATCGAACGAAATTTTCAATATAAATTAAGTAAGGAAATGTTATATGTATTGTGATGTAAAAATGTAATGAAAAAAAAAAAAAAAAAAAACTACATATACACAACTGTCTGGATTCTCTACTTTTGCTAATATATTAAAATATATTAAAATAAATTGAAGGAGACGACAATCCACAATAGTTTAGTACCTAGTTTTTGTTGACTTTTATTTTATAAGATCGCAAATTAGTGTAACAACAGTGCAGCGCATCATTTGTCGCATAGTCTTCACTTATGCTTGTATGATAACATTATCGATATATTTGATAACAACTTTGATTTACATGCGGAAATTGTGTATCGTGTATAGTAACATAAATTCCTGGTTTAGCTCTCCCATTCTCGTTCTTTCTCTTTCTCTATATTATAAATATAGAATAAAGTCCTTTATGAAGTTCTTTCTTGTTTTCGTACTTTGTTTTTATGTGAAAAATAATTAGGAAATGAATGTATTTCAGATTTAAAAGGAATCTCGATGATCGCATAACTTACGAAAACTCTTCAATTGTTAATAGAGATTCTGAACTCTTCAGTCTTCGAAACTTCAAAGTTTCAAAAAAAATCTATTCTCGATCTAATCGATATTTATACTTATTTCAGTTGTCCTTTTTTTTTCTCCTAATTTAAATATTAATGTCATTGATAGATGATAAAACACATACATGAGATTTCAAATGAATGCACGCTACGAGTATAAACAAAAATATGCATTAGTAAAAACTCCAAAAAATGACGCGTAAAAAGTAAAAAATTCACTTGAAGTGTTTTGCGTTAAACAATTTTACATAGAATTGATTTATATATATATATATATATATATATAAACAATACATATATATATATATATACATATATATACATATTGGGGGATATACATATATATCCACCGATTTTGAGATAATTAGGTTCATCAATAAGACCAATAAGACTTTTTTACCCGAATTTCTTGCTTTAGCACGAATCGCAAAAAAAATTCTTATTTAAATTCTGATGTTGACAATGTTTTACAGAAGTTTATGTATACAGCAATAAAATACAGCTGGGGGAATCACCAGGATGAGAAGTCGATCAGTTTATCCCCAGTTGCTAATAATAGATTTTATAACGGTTTAATAATGAAAGAAATATGTCATTTGAATCAGCCTCGACAGTTGTACTGAACATATATATTTCTGATAGCATTTTTGATCCAGTCCGTAGTAAATGTAGACGCTTTTCATCCAGTAGCGATGAATAGTTGATGAAATTAATTATTTTTTATTTCCTAAATATATATGTAAATGGATGACATCATCACTTTTCTTGCATGGCTTTTTGGGAAAATGTTTGGTTTTTTTTTTTATTCATCTTAAACGATTTTTTATGCTATGGAATATATCCCCAATTTACCATATGTTGCATGTACATATTTTTTTACACGATTGTCTTTTTCCGGGGTGGTTTTCTATGAAACATATCGACGACTGTGTGTGAAAAAGGAGATGGGTTTATATATGTTTGTTCGAAATTCAGCTAAGTTAGTGTATAAACCTCAATCATCATGCGTGAGAGGTTGACTAAAACAAAGAAATCTCCTTTTCCGTAACACTTTTCTTTAAAAAGAAAAATAATTAATTTATGTGTCTCGCAAATCTTCAATTCTTTCAAAGAAATTGTTAGAATTGTAGATTGTAAATATTTCCTAAAGATCAACCAGAAATGTTTGACATTGTTTTTCTACTTATTCTCTATATAGATTGATACTATGTATGTATTAAATTCCTTCTTAGACGTACAAGAAAATCGCATTGAACGGGTACTTGAGAAAAGAATTTTTGCTGATGATTCATTCCGAATTTTATTTACACACACACACACACACACACACACATTGACGAACTTCTAATTCTACATTTTACACCAAGCCTTAGATAATCGTAATCATAGACCAGATTTCAACAGAATGTTCCTATTCATCAAAACAATGTATGGCTTATGGGTTTCTTTATTTTGACAATACCAATACGAATATTGAGAAGAAGAAGCGAAAGATATCTTGTCACATATGCGTACACACGTACACGTACGAGCACAAGAGCCGGAGAGAGTGGTTCGAGATGAAGAGTGATAAAGGGATAGAGAGAATGAGAGGGAGAGAGTTTGATAATAATAATAATAATATTTGTAATTAGCACAAACATCTGATTGAATTATTATTTTTCTTATGGTTTCTTGTGCGGTTTGTATAAAATTCATACACAACTATGAAAATTTTAAGCGACAATATTTATTTATGTTTATTTAAAACAATATTTTAAAAAATGGGTTTCGTCATTTATTTTCACCTTTAAACAAATTTTCAACCCTATGTACAAAAAAAAAATTAAATAAATAAATAAATAAATAAATAAATGAAAAAGACATACAAGTTAATTAATGGTGTAATGGTTATTGTAAGTGTTCAATCAAAGCGATGAATTTCCTTAATAAAGCGAATTTTCAAAAAAGTGGAATTATTGAAAAATAATACTAAAGGATTATACATATTATTGGAACAGTTTGAAAAAAATGTAAACGAATAATAATAAAAAAAAAAAAAGAAGAAACAAACCAAACAAAATAAAGTTTAATTTATTAAAATAAACAAAAAAAATATTAACAAAATTAAAACAAAAAAAATATATATATATATATATATTAAACAAAATCAAAAAAATTAATAGCAACAACAATGCATGTCTCTTATAAGTTTGGATTATTTTTAATATTTATATTAAGCGTAAGGTTTGTATAATTATTAATTTCTTTAATGAATTTTAATAACTTGACAAATCATAAGTCTTAACGTGACACAGCCTACAAAAATTTTCGTAACAGAAACCCTCCTTGAATTGAGTTTACCAAAGTTCAAAGATAATGAAATTTATTGAATATATATATATATATATATATATATCTACATTCAAACAGATTTACGTTTTTTTTTTACACATTCATTTTTATTAGAAGAGGGACCTTTGAACCGACCCTCTTAATTGTATTTGGTCTATACCTGCTTTAGTTGCTTTATATATGCTGTATGCGTTATACGCTCTATATTTATTTAGTATAAACTTCTAATATTGAGATAGTCTACGGAAGCGAACGAAATATAAAAGGAAAGAGAAATTGGGAGCAAGATTGGGTAAAAACAAAAAAAAGCGTCTTTTCTAAACAATGTAATCAAAATTTGATCAAATTTTCTCTATCTTTCTCTCTCTCTCTCTGTTTTTTTTAAGTACAAAGTTTAAATTTATTGAATTTTTTTTTTTTTTTTTTCTTTTTTTTAAACAAAGCACACAATATTTAACTATTCACATATGTATTCCGCATATACATAAATAAATAAATATATTAAATCATGTTTTTTTAATCATTAAATAAAATTTATACGATTATCGCGAAATTTATCGCAAAAATATATATGAAAATTCTATTTTATATTATTCTATACGCGTTTAAAAAAAAAAAAAACAAATAAATAAAAAATTCCCGTAAATCAATTAGTGCATAATTTGTTTTATACGAGGAAGAAAGATATATTAATTTTTTCAATCCATTTGGTATTTCCTTTGAAAATTGCATGACCATCTTAACATATATATTTTTGAATAGAATGCAACACCATGAGATGTGAAAACACTAAATAAAATCAAGACAAATAATAAGCACACGCTACCAAATAGCCTCTTTTCTCTCTCTCTCTCTCTCTCTCTCTCTCTCTCTCTCTCTCTTTCTCTTTTTCTTGATTATTTGAGCTTTTCCTCCCTTACATTACACTACCGGTGTGACTTCTTTCCTTCTTCTCTCTCGGCTTACAAATTTATTTACTTTCACTCGTTCATTCGGTCCGATTTCAACGCACTATCATCAAACAGTGCGCAGTTCGTATGCTTGTGATTCCTCTTTTTCATTATTTAGTCATTCGTTAATTCATTTTTATTCTTTTTTTTTTTTTTTCTTTTTTTGTAATGCATTGTCCTTACGCTACACGTGCGGATAAAATTGATTCATTCGAATCGCCTGCGTTGCACCTTGTTTAGGTTGTGCAATTCCCTGGCATAGACTTTGCAATTAAATTAATCAAATTCAAAAATAGAACGGATTTATGTATATATATGCAAATGTTAAATATTGTAGAAAGAAAAAATATTGAATACTGCGCTTTATCTCCATTGCATGCAAAATCAAATAAAAGTATGGATTGTGGGATCTCTACATCCGTACAATTTCCAATCATCCTTTTGCCCCGCCTCCCCTAATCACCCTATTTGTTCGCTTTCTGACTCTATAGATTTAGTGGAGGAGCTTTTCTCCCACTACCCACTAAAGAGACCTAATGGTTCCATGTCTTTTTCCATTATAAAATGTATTACGTTCACCTGTTTTTAAAAATATTATCCCTAACAATAGTTCTCTTCTCCTATTCCTATCTTTAAAAGACATTATATTTCTTTACTTGTCTATCGAAACTACTCGTGTCGAAAACAACGAATACGAATAAACAATTCCGGCCCAATCAGCAATATGAATGAACATTAAGGCATAAATCCTTACTAAATTCCTAATCCATATATCATTTATTAACTTTTATATCTGCATTTTCACACCAATTCGCATACATTACAAAGTTAAATACACACTGGCTTGGTTGAATTTGAAATTGGGTTAATACCGGCAGAAAAGAGTTTTGAAATTTTATTTTGCTTTACTTTACGATAATCAAGTCTACAGACAACTAAGACTATTAACTCACTGATCTCGCTGTTAGTTAGGTGGTGGCTTTCGATATAGAAATATTGCTTTCCTAAAGAGTTTTATCACAAAAAAAATTTATAAATTCCTGTCTCCTTTTCATCTTTTTTTTATTATAATTTCGTGATAATGTCGTGACTGTATATATCTATAACGAAGAACTCACTTAATTTCATGATTCTTGGGGAACTATAAAGGTGAAAAATAAGAGTAAGTCACTTTTAAAACAATATAACAATAAATGTGTCCCCTCGATCGACGGCGTCGAGTATTGTTGTCAGCGCAACATACAGATGCTATCATTCCAATATGCTGTCGTCACCACAACTTGACAAAAATAACGCCAAATAGATTAGGACTCGTAGCATTTCTCTACCATTGTCAAGAAAAAATTGGCCTCTCAACAATCTAGGATTTTGAGAGCGTTAAATCAGAGACAACTAAATGACAACAACAAGATCGTCCAATATTTTGTTCAAAATTCAAATTAAAAGATGATTGTTACGGACTTTTTGCACTTCCATTAAAAATAACAACGGTAAAGCTATTAATTAGCAGCAGCGATTTGACAGATTGCTCTTTCATTCTCATCATTTGTATTTCACAAAGATTCTCTTAATAGTTTCTTGATATGACGTCGCAGCATTCTCTCAAATGTTTGCAAAGCAGCGTATAATTCTGCGTGTTTTCAAGTGTTTTATAAATTGAAAATGAATTTGGTGCGCATGGGGTAGCTAAAAAAAACAAACAAAAAAACCTACGTGCATCCTAAAGCGAACCTTCGTTACCCTCAATAGCATACATTTAGTACAATTTAACCATTTTTTAGGCAAATAGAAGATAGATTTACAGAGTTTTGAAAGAGCTTTGTGATTTTTTTTTTCTTTTTTTTTTCCGGTAAAAGATATGAATTAAGTTATTTGATATACGAATGAAAGATAGGGTTACGAACAGAATAAATCTTTCGAAATGAATGCTTGAAATAAATAAAGTTTTCATAAGGCAATTTTCATAAATCTTTTACAGCGTTTATTATGGACGAGGAACTCCTCTAAAAGGTGAACCTTCATTCTATGGTGAGGAATATCGCGATGATGACTATGGGTATTATGATTCCGATGAAAGTGAAGATGATAGTAGTCAAGATCAACAAAAAACGATAGCACAAGAAGCAAAAAAAAAATTAACAACAACAACTACAACTACTGTGAAAACCTTGCTTAGTTTATTTAGTAAGTAAATTATAATTGCAATTATATGGGAAAATAAATTTACGTTAATACATCTTTATACAAATTTTAGATTTACCGAAGCGTAATGATCATGTTTTAGATCCAACATGTCCGAAAGAATGTTTATGTTTAGAGGATTTTAAATTTGTTAATTGCGCTCATGCACATCTGAAACATGTGCCGCCCGATTTACCTAGGACTGCTTATAAAGTAGATTTAAGTAACAATCAAATCGAATTAATACGGGGAACAGACTTTGCTAATCGTAGTAAATTGATGGAAATTAATTTAAATAATAATCATTTAACAGAATTAAATAAGGAGGTAAGTTTGAGAGGGCAGATGATTTCATAATTTTAAAATAAATATAATTTTATACTAAGCAAGTTATCATTTCTTGAATTTTTAAAGATATTTAATGGCTTAACTAGACTGCAAAGGTTACATTTGGCTTCAAATCTTTTAACTACAATAGAACCGGACACTTTTCACGGAGCTACTGATTTAAGTTTGTTGGATCTAAGTAATAATTCTATCGTCTTGCCGCAACAAGGTTCTCTACTCAACCAAACCTCATTATTAGAATTTCACTGCCGTAATTGTTCTTGGTCTTACATTTCTAAAGACACATTCAAAAATACACCTTCTTTAACCGTACTGAGGATTGATCAAAATGACTTTGGTATGGTAAGTACAATGCCTATGATTTGAAATATAAAATATCATAAGCTAGTTATGTAACACAGCATAGAAATTCCTAACATTATTTCTTAATTAAATTGCTTAAATTACAAAAAAATAATAATAATAATTTTTTCAAGATCAAATCTTAAATACATGACATTAAGTCATTGTTGTATTACTAAAAGTTTCCTTTTTTATTTATATTAAACATAAACATAAAAAACTCTAACGTCTGGCAACACTTCTGCCCGTATTAAAAACAACAAAAAAAACACACATTTAAATTCTGCGAGATAAATTTTACCACTTAATTTGTCATGATAAAGAGAAAAAGAATAAAAGCTTTTCAGTTCATTACGAACACAAAGTTACAAACCTTCTTTCAAGTTTCTCTCTTTCACGTTTTTGTCTGTACGTCAAAAGGGAGACTTATAAATACTAGTTTTGCGTTTTTTTTTTATTTGAATTTTTTTTTTTTTTTTTTGTATATATATATATTTTTTTCTGTTATCACTTTTTGCTTCTCTTCTTACCGAAATTTGACAGAAAATCAATACGCTCGCGTTTACGCCTTTAAAGAATTTAATAAAGCTGAGTTTGCCGGATTTGGATCAAAATAATACCGAGAAACTATGCGAATTATTGGAAACTATTGATAATATTAGCTTTAAACGTTTCGATGTGAGTTGCTTCGAATTGGTTTTAGGAACTAATTATAATGACAGCATAATTTTAACAACTGACCGCTCATTCCCAAATCCACGCTGGCCAAAGGAGGAGATTGGGACACATTTAACTGCAATTAAGCCTAACAACAATACAGTAATAAAAGGTAAGATTTATAATATGAAATACACGAACTTTGTCTTACATTGCATTTAATGACAAAAGAATCATTTTTTTTTTTTTTTTTGGTTTGTTTGAATACTTCATGTAGGCATAACCAAAATGAACACAAATGTTAATATGACTTACATGACAAACAACAGTAACAGCAGCAGCAGCAACAACGACAACAACAACAACACTAGTAGCAGTGTAGAAGGTGTTCTACTTATAAATACCAGTACGGTATCCTCAGTAGTAAATAGTAGTTCAAGCAAAGGAAGCGAAGAAGCGTACCAAGTTCCTGTATCTCCGGAAACTATTGACCGGATGCTAATAGGTTTTCGAAACATATAATTTTCTTTTTACAAAGAATGAAATTAATTTGTTTTTTTCCCCATTTTCAATGCACACAGGTCTTATGGTCGTATCTATTATTGGCTTAATTGTTGGGCTTATATGCCGCAATGATGTTGGTGGTATAAAAACTAAGTGCTGTCGAACACGTAAAGTTCCAACTGAAAATGAAGAAGATCCCGACGCTACCCCAGAAGAAATACCATTAAATAAAATCTCTTAATTGAAAGTGTAGCGCAACTTGCTTTGAATACGTTACTATAATGAATAATTTTTGAATTTGAATTTTTTGTCTTATCATTCCATATATTCATAAAGAACTATGTATTTCACTGTTTGCGACGCTAAGGTTTAGAAGGGTTTATTTAGCATTTTGCAGGCTATTGTTTGCTTTTTTAAATATGTATTTTTTTAAATTTTTTTTTTTTTATCAATCAAATGTTTTACATAAGCTCTTTTGTATAAAAAATTACGCACACAACTAATTTGCCATTGAGTTGAAATTATTGTAATTATTTAATTTACATAAAGTACAAAACCAAACAAAAATCATAAATCATTTTACTTTCAAATCGGCTGAGATTGATATATGAATCAATTTTTAAATATGGTTTAATATATTAAAAAGCAATAAAAATAAAAAACAATTCATTCTATTTATCGTCGCTCATTTAATGCTTTACTCATCATTTTGTTGAAGTAGGATAATCCAAACAATAATAAATGTCAGATTGAAGAAGCAATAGGCATTTGCGTGTCGAAAGAAATGTATTTAAGAAATCTTGGATTATCAATACGAAATCGTGACAAAATGTCCCCTTTCTTAATACTAGATTTACGGCACTTGTCAATTTGATTTGGTTTTTATATTAAAACTTCAGCATAAGAAATTCGATACCTTTAGATATCATATATGGGTTTTGAATAATATAATGCGTCAATTATATATGTCAACCCTTTTTTCTGGGACACACCTACTTATGCTAATTTAATGCAAATATCATTTGGTACACATATGCCAATATCTACGAAAACTCGGCTAATTGATGGGTAATTATTGTGAGTTGTTTTAGTCGCTGAAGCTTAACACGAATACTTCTTAATCGATTAAGAACGTGAAACTGAAAAACGTCCACGTGCAGAAGCAACTAAGCCAACGTTCGAAAAAATCGCGATTTTTTTTTCCATTTTCATGTATAACTTTAGATCCCGCTAATATATTTTCGAAAAACTATTAACCGAATGTTCACGAGAACCAACTTTGCATGTTCGATGCAAACGTGATTCCAATCGGTCACAACAACATCTTATTTTTCGTTTATTCCAAGGACACATTGAATTGGATTTCTTCGCTAATTGTGGACAAGTTAATAATATATAAACTTGTGAGCCTAATTTACTTTTTGACTTCCTTCTTCTTAAGTCAATTTAAAATTTACCACTAAGTCCAATTATTAGTAGGGCGGACAACAAAAAACTTTTAGCACGGAATCTGAACGAACATGTTTGTGTGTCATTTACATCAATTTGGAATTGAATTGATTCCAATTCTTAGGAATATTGGTCTATAGTTTTTACCTTTCCGAATCTTATTAGCTTTACTTGAAGGATTATTTGCAGCCATTTGATGATGTTAAACATCGGAATAGATGGAAAAAATTGCATGGAAGGAAGAAGTTTGGCAAAGGTAAATAAATAGTACCTTGTGTTTTGCATTTTGTACTTTTATTTTAATATTACTGACACTTGTCTTTTCTCATTTTTTGTACATAATTTTCTTCTTATCTAAAGGTGTGCGTCCCTCCTTAGCACTTATTTGAATAAATTTTATCCTCACGACTCGGATACTTGAAAAATCTTTCTAAACACACTATATACACAAACATATACACATTGGACACATGGACACATTGGAGGATTCACTACAAATTACTGCTTTATGGATGAGCACGCAGCAGTACATCTTTAGGTTTTAAACATGGGATGGCAATTAACATTTTATACAGATATGTAATGCATGCGAAGAGAAACTATATTTAAATAAATGCATTTACAATAAATCATAAAATTGCTATTCTGACTTGTTTAATGTGTTCGATCAGTTTTTTAACCGTCATTATAAAAGATTATATTTACACTCACCTCCATAACTAAATTGACGCAATCTTGTGATTCTTTGCAATCTAATAAAGCCACAACATTCTCGTGATGCAGTTCAGTCAGTTCTTTAAGGATTTTAATTTCTTTACCCAAAAGATTTTGAGTTTTAACTAAACCTTTTTTGGTAATACATTTTATAGCCACGGGAAAATGTTTCTGTAAAATGAGAAAAATTTATTAAATATCAATTATGCTATAATCTCTCATACAACTGATGTAATCGAAATCAAAAAATGGTTTAAATGTAATTTTTGTACTAGGAAGTTTCATCCGAAAAACGGTCTTTTCATATGACTTGAGAGGACGTCGAAAAAAAAAGTGGAAAGATAAAAAAGGCTAGGGATATGGTGGTCAGGGCCCAATCGATGAATCTTATGCCTTGCCTTTACAAATAAAGCATTCAGTGGAGCTACTAAAGCGGCCAAAGTACAAAGCGTATTAAAAAAAAAAAGGTTGATTTTTGGTTTTTCTCGAAAAATATTGATTTACTAATATCTATAAAAAATTGTCGAAAAACTCCTCTTTTTAGGCTGCGATAATGATGTCAACCCTGTTAACCCTTAAGCAATAGACAGCTGAATGCTTTTATCAAATTAATTTAATACTTTATCATTTAATATCGAGACATATTTGATAAGTTGTTTAAGATGGAAGCTGCAAGTAAATTCGGGTTTGTAATACAAAGTAACTCCTGACCGCAACAAAAAAAGAAAGAAGAGCTACCCAGAGATGACGTAAGTGGATCAAGCTAATATCATGCTGCCGATTATCTAGGCAAAATTCAGATTGATCACATTTAGAAAAACATAGGAATCAGTCCGAGATTTTAGTGCACGAAAAAGCCAACGTTTCCTTCAGTGGACAGCTTATGTTATGTTATGCTATTATATCCATAATTTCAAACATTCAGAAGAGGTGTCAAAACCTCATTTCTTTTACTGATTGAAAAAGTGTACAGAAAAGCCATTATTGTCTAGCAAAAGCAGCGAGGAAATTATAACAAAGCAGCGTACATCAAATTTAGTGGGAATGAAATCCCCACCGATTAAAATCGATCAGTTTAGATTATTGTTTAATATTATTTATTATATACGATTTATTAACAAATAATTGATATATAAATAATTTTTGCAACGATTAACGAATAGTTGTCTCTTTCGCTTGAAAATTAACCTAAATTCAGTGTTTTCATCCAAATTCTCGTCAAATCACACAAAGAGTTAATATTTTTAAAATGCACTACGTACGAATAGATTTAGTAAGTTTTTTAAGAGTCAAATTTACGCTGACTACACTGCTTGCCGCATATTTCATTAGCAACGCGAAAGTGACTCCGTTGCGTCATTTTTCTAGTATTTTTGAAAAATTAATCTTAAAAAATAACAATTTACTTAAATATATATTCAATATAGCTTCCCGGAATGCTATTATTCCATGGCTTTTTCTTCTTCTTCTTCTCCTATCCTCTTCTTCTAACCTAAAAAAAAAAAATTGTCGAAGAAACGGTTTTTTTTTATAAATTGTGGCCATTTTTCCATCATAGGTTCCCGGTAAGGTTCGTAATCTCTCGAAGGAAGATCACAAACGTACGCGTTTTATAAAAGCCAACAATGGAAGAGTTTTAACTTTTCATGGGAGATACACACGCGGACAATGAGATTTGGAATGAAGATACTGAAAAAGAAGACGAAAGGGAAGATATTCAGCAACCAACATAACATAATTCTATTATATCGTAACACTGTTAAACATCTCACGCTTGCTTACTTAATACTTGGAATCATACTATTTGAAAACTTAAGAAACGTTCCATAAGCAGATAAATATCACGGAAATCGAAACGACATAAACAAATTGAAATCGCACTTTTAAAAAATATTTCAAATTTAGTATCTTAGCAGAAAATCAAGAAACGTCACAGTCAAGAGCAACGAAACTAGAAAATGATCAAATAATCAATGATCGTTTAAACGATGTAAAAACGATGTAGATTTAAACTTTGAGAGTTCAGCGCGCCAAATAAAACAAAAAAAAAACAATTAAATGCGTCGTATGTTGAAATGTTAAAACTACTAGGGAACTAAATATTCGCCCACAAATTTCCCGCAATTTTAATCCTAAATATCCGTGGATTTTGAGAGGCTACTCTTGCTGCGACATTTTGCTCTCTACCTACATTGGTATGTCCTATAAACAAACGAATCTAAATTTGATGATAGGTGATCCAGTACAAAGTCCTGCTTAATCGATTACTTCACGAAAGTTCTTCAACTTTTACATCTGGAGCCAGAGTCTGAATCTTACTTGTAAGAAGAAACTAAAAACTATTATTGACTCTGGTTGTGTTAGAAACAATCACTTTCAACATGCCCGCCGTTAATAAGTTAAGAAACACCATTCCGACATGCGCAGATCAAATACTTAGTTGTATCAATTTGTTAAGAAATGAGCAAGCTAAGCGAGCGACAAAGTCTTTTGCTTCTGCATCTCTAACTGTTCACGACAACATGAAAATATTAGACCTTTAAATAAAACAAACATGGGAAAACTATCATCAGCACTACTCCTCGGTTAAACCTGTCCTAGTTCCTCTATTATATCCATATAATTGCAACACACCAATGGGTTCTGAAGAACTCTGCGTCTCCAATCTGAAATTGTGGGCACTTTCTTTATGACGTTCGGATCAAATAAACCTATGCACATCATGTAAGCGTATGCATCGTGTGCAGAACATGATATAACAATTTAATAAATTAACTTTAATGAGACTAATAGACTTTATATCCGATTTCTATTTCTAAAATAGAACCGATTGTCTACTTCGTTACTGCTTTTTTTCTTTCTTATTTTAGTTGAATAATTTATATCATTCAAAAATAATAATAATAATAATAATAATAATAATATAACAATATTGAAATGTGTTGTCGGTGAGCTTAAAAAATTAAAATCTATGCGAAGTTATTTTCCAAAAGATGTAGAAAACTCGAAGGTTCACTTACTTACTTGCTTATACTTCATAATCGCTCTGTGGCTTATAACTTTTTATTGATGTTTTTTTGTATTACTGCTAGCTACAGTTAACGCCTAGGTATGTACGTGTATGCACTACGAAAATTTCGCATTCTAATCTTCTATTGTAACATGGATTTTCGTCTTCTTTTTTTTAATACTTTTGTTAGTTGGTTATGTGGATGCTTTAACCCTATTTGCGTAGGGTGGACAAAAATCATATTGTAAAGGGAAAACTTCAAATAAATTGAACTTATTTTGCGCGACTTGCACAAAGGAATATGTATATATATATATATATATATATATATATATATATATATA